CATCAACGACCAAACTGTCTTGGGGGGCCTTCTGGTCAAAGAGCTGCGGAGGGCACTGTCGGGATACAGCCCCATCTTGAAGGCGGTGATGGCCATGGAGTCATTGCAAGCATCGTCTACCAGATTAAAACATTCCCAGTACCATGCCGAATACGCGCAAAGGGTTTCCTCTAGTTGAATCTGTATTGCCCAAAGGGAATCGGCTTGCTTTGGCTGGACCTCATTAGTGATAAACCTCGCCCTGAAGGATTTTTGGAGTTGGTGGAAGCTTTTAATCGAGGCCGGCTCCAGTTTATAATACCACCTGACAGCTAGTAGTCCCAAACTGCTCGGAAATATTCTGCACATGAAAGCCTCATCGTCTGCATGCAGCATCATGGCTTGTTTATAATGGCGGATGTGATCGGTGGGGTCTGATTTACTGTCGTACAAGGTGAATGACGGTGCTTTGAATTTCTTGGGAAGTATTGCCTTTGCAATCCGTCGTACAAAGGGATCGTGCCGGTCTTCTTCATCTGAACTGTTTCTTCTTCGCTCATGCCTTATACGGGGACTTTCTTCAGAAGAATTGGTAGTTTCAGGTCGCCCCTTCTTCTTGGGCTCTGGGGATAATGAGTCAGAGTCACTTTCAGTGTAGTCTTGTCGGGCTCGGGGTCGTCGACCACCTGCCCTCGGAGGTCGCTTGGGATCTAGGCATATAGCTTGTTTGGACTTCGCCACCTCTAAGGCCAGATCTTGACGGAGACGTTCGTTCTCAGCGATCATGTTCTCCAACCTCTGTTTATTTTGCTTGGCCTGTTCCATGATCGCCTGCATTGTCTCATGCTCCGAAGTCGAGGGTGAAGCGAAGTTCAAAGCGCGTCTTGCGGCGATAGTCTCCGGTCCAAGCATGGTTGTTGGAGTGAGGTTGTCTCTCTGCGTGGTTTCATCGGTGACTATCGAAGGGTCTTCTATCACGCCCGCCATGGATGTATTTGAGTATTCCCACAGACGGCGCCAATTGTGAAGAAGTGGTTTGGAGATACTCTTCTGATCCTGGGGGACGCTCGTGATCCTCTGCTAGTCACCTGAAAATGAATAAACACTCCGATCGGAGGTGCCGGAATTAGCACTCCGACGGGCAAGTCAGTCTCTACACTCAGGATCACTTGTCTTCTAAGTTAAGCTTAATAGTTCTCACATACCTATTCCTGGCTGATATTCTTTTATTTATATCTTTTCTTTCTTGGGCCTCGGGATCGGGTCCACTTTCAATTCGCTATTCGGCTTCAACTGTAACAAATCGCTTTTCACTCGGCCCCTTGCTTGACTGACTATTGGGCCGAATAGGATAGGGTTCGAGCGTATGAGATGGTGCCGAATGCTATATATTTCGACCTAGAGTTCGACTATTCGGCACCTATGCGACTCCTAATATTCGGCCCTCACAGGGGCTTTGTGTCAAATTGTCTAGTTAATTTCTACTTATATTCTATTAGGCACTTAAATAAGTTTAAAAAATTAATTACCCAAAAGTTAAGAAGAAATGCTTTTAATTTAAGTTTGGGAATATGACTAAAACCTCACACCGTAACGAGACATTTGGTCATTTATTTGGTAGAAAATTTAGGACTTATAGCATTTTCCTAACTAAAATTCAGCTTTTTAACTTTTTAACTTTTTTGAATCATATTATCTCCCTAATTTTTTTTACACATTTTTTAAAAAAAATCAGAAAAAAAAAACACCAAAGCCTACTTCCCAAAACTCAACCAAAGAAAGTCAAATTTATCACTTACTCCCGTGCCCTACCATCTGCCTCACAACAAATTTCTTGGGCGTTTTATTACCAAATTTAATGACTCGATCCAAATTCCCACTCCACGTCCGTTGTTGAATACCAAACAACACTCACTTTCACAAAACGTGTCTCATCCCCTTCATAAATTGTCCAAATTCATTGAATTGGTTCCTTCATGCTACCATAAAAAATATGTAAGGCAAATGTTCCTAAGTCCCTCTAATGTATTATTTAATAATAAAATTAGTGTAATAAATATTTTAAAAATTAAAAAATAATTTAAAATGAATAAAAGGGGTTTTCGAGTTCGACTATTCGGCACCTATGCGACTCCTAATATTCGGCCCTCACAGGGGCTTTGTGTCAAATTGTCTAGTTAATTTCTACTTATATTCTATTAGGCACTTAAATAAGTTTAAAAAATTAATTACCCAAAAGTTAAGAAGAAATGCTTTTAATTTAAGTTTGGGAATATGACTAAAACCTCACACCGTAACGAGACATTTGGTCATTTATTTGGTAGAAAATTTAGGACTTATAGCATTTTCCTAACTAAAATTCAGCTTTTTAACTTTTTAACTTTTTTGAATCATATTATCTCCCTAATTTTTTTTACACATTTTTTAAAAAAAATCAGAAAAAAAAAACACCAAAGCCTACTTCCCAAAACTCAACCAAAGAAAGTCAAATTTATCACTTACTCCCGTGCCCTACCATCTGCCTCACAACAAATTTCTTGGGCGTTTTATTACCAAATTTAATGACTCGATCCAAATTCCCACTCCACGTCCGTTGTTGAATACCAAACAACACTCACTTTCACAAAACGTGTCTCATCCCCTTCATAAATTGTCCAAATTCATTGAATTGGTTCCTTCATGCTACCATAAAAAATATGTAAGGCAAATGTTCCTAAGTCCCTCTAATGTATTATTTAATAATAAAATTAGTGTAATAAATATTTTAAAAATTAGAAAAAATTTAAAAAATAATTTAAAATGAATAAAAAGCATTGTCAAATTAGTTTTGTGTATTTTCTTGTATCCATGAGATATTTATTAGCATGACCCTAAATGTAAATTCTTTTTGAATTAATAATTTGATAGGTTTTGGTTATGGTTTATTTTTTAATTTTTTTTATTTATTACGAAAATACATGCAAAAAAGTAGAAAAATAATTTGATAATAAGCCCATAAACTAATAAATTATGGGCTATTTTGGGAAGTGTGTTAAAAGTCACTTTCTAACTTTTAACCCACTTCCTTCTCTCATAAAAAAAGTCAAAAAAAATCAAAAAATAACTTTTAATCATCTTTTCAAAATACATTATGTTATTTTTTGTGTACCCAAAACAAGGCAAAGTCATGTCAAACTTCAATGCTTTTTGTGTCACATGCAATGGCTTTGTTGATTATTGTTTTTCACTTGCGAAAAAAAAAACAAAAAAAAATAAAAAAAAAAAAAAAAAGTAACAAATTCCATAAAAATAGCCTTAAAACTCAACCCAAAAATAAAGAATAATCTAAAAGAAGAATAACCTTGATAGAAAAATAATAGTGATAGAATTCCAATCAAAACAAGGCTCGTTAGAGTATAACTCAAAGATATAACTTTCATATTTGGACTTGGTTGAGAGAAGCCGAAAGATAAATGAAATTGAAGCAAAGTTATGTGAAATACAATTTTTCAAGGGTAGAATTAAAAATAGAGGGATTAAAATTAAATTTTAATAAATATGTAAAGAATTAAAATGAAATTTTAATAAGAATATAGAAATACTAATGAGATAGTTACTCACATATTATTTTTTGCCAATCTTTTTAGAAGGGTGAAATTACAATTTAATAGAGAATTAATTATTACAATTGAAATGAAAGAACGATAACAAAATTTAATATTCACATATTAAATTTTGATGTTTTAAAAAATACAAAAAATTGTGTGTGTTTTTTTTATGGTGAAAAAGTTGATTTTTGAAAAAAAAAAAAACCTTTGTAGTTACTTTTTAACCGATTCCAAACAAGGCATAATCCACATATTTGAAAACAATGAATCTATTTGATGCATCTTGTTCTAAGCTACCAGCATTCATCAACTAACTTTTAGACAATCATTTATTTTAAATTTTATTTTTTGTATAACAAACTGTAAACAAAAACTACAACAAACAATTTGATAAATTTTTTTCTTTAAAGTAATAAGTTATAAACAACTCATATAACCTCCAAACAACCTCAGCACCGATTAGAAACTCAAATATCTTTAATCATGTAGGGCTTGTTTTTGGTATACAAAAAAATAAGTAGTTTATTGACTTATTTGAATCACATCACGTCTCTACTATATTTTTTCACACATTTTTTCATATTAAGTAAAAAAACCAACAAATAACTCATACCCAAAGCAAGATAATTAAAATAAAATTTTGTTGTTAGAGAAGAAAAAAAAAGAGAACAATTACAGGAAAAAAAAAACACTAAAGTTTTAGCTTATAATAATATAAATTATGAGTTTTAATTTTATCAATTTAAACCTTAATATTTTTATTTATTTTCAATCTAACCTATTCGTCTATATTCATTAAGTAAAATTGATGAAAAAATAATATTTTAGTCATTAAATTCAATGTAGATACAAATAAAATATTTAAGATACTATTTTCATTAAGTTTAATGATTAAAATACTTATTTTTATGAATTTTACTTAATACAAATAAAAAATAAAAAAATTACAATTTAAATTGATAAAATTAAAAACTCAATATTTATTTTATGAATAAGATAATGGACCCAAATTTTGAACCAAAATGAATTGTGTAGTGGAGATTAAAATTGTGTATTGTGTAATTCATGTGTAAAATGAATCTGAACTATATGTTAATATTTTTAAATAAATTTTGAATATATTATTATGGATTTGTAATATTACTGTTATATCTTTACAAAACTCAAATTTCAAATTTTTTTTGCAATTTCTAAAAAAAAAAATAGCATAGAAGAAAAGGGAATTTACGGATAAATAAATGCAAAAGGTGACCTCCTTTTGCAACTTTCAATTTTAGCCAAAAAAATCACTATAAATTGTCACATTATTCTCTCTATTTTTTTTTTTTATCTTTTTGTAAATAAATTTTCTGACTTCCACTAATCATCAGTAATTCCCCTTAGAAGAAAACTTGACCATTCGTACATCCAAGAGAGAGACTAGAGAACATGATGACGCACCGATCAGATTCCTAGAGAGAGAGAGAGAGAGAGAGAGAGAGAGTCCCCACAAAAACTGACGCTTAAGCAGCCTAGAATTGGGTTCACTAAAATCCCAATAATCGATCACCAAATATCTACCCAGTCCCACTCTTTGCATTTGAAATTTTCTAATCCAAAAAAAGTAGATACCGCAAGTAGGGAAGGTAGAGAGAGAGTGTGTCAAGGTTCCCAAATTTGCACAGAGACAGTTCACGATCTGCTTACCCCATTTCTATTAGCTTCCCCACCCCACCATAAGAACCCATCGATCATGCCATCAGGTGCAAAGAAGAGAAAAAGTGCCAAGAAGAAGCAGCAAAAGGAGGAGGCCAACAACAACAAAAACAACTCAGCAATTCACTCTTTTGGTACTCTCTCTCTCTCTCTCTCTCTCTCTCTCTCTCTCTGTTCTTTACTTTTCTCAACAAATCCGTTGATACCCATCTGTCAATCACTCACACCCTTATCTGTCTAATCTTTTAATATTTGATCTGTCTGTGTAATTTGGTTTGGTGGGCTGTTAGTAATGTCTCTTGTTTGTCTTGATTTACTAGTTGAAGCACTTTATTCATACCTTTTCTACTTTTCCATCTGTTTCTCAACCATTTATTATTGTCTACTTTTTCTAGTTCATGGGGTTTATGTAATTGTTTATTTGTGTGAAAATGGCATGGTGGGTATGGGTTAATGTGTCTTGTTTTTCCTTGGATTTATCTTAAGTTTACTAATCCAAAAACTCCCTTTTCTGCTTATACTATTAACTTTTTCAAATCATAATTTTGAGTTCTGGCTCAGATTGGTTGATGGGTATTTGTTAATGTATAGATATATGTGTATCTACCTACTTATTTTATTTGTGTTTGTGTGAAATTAGCATGATGGGTATGGGATAATGTGTCTTTATCTTTGTTTTTGTGTGTGAAAATAGCATGATGGGTACCACTACTACGCTCATCACTTTTTGCCACAACCCCCATCAATCAATGAAGACACACCCATGTTTCTCTTAATCATACACTCATCTTTTTCTAGTTCATAATTTTGAGTTCTAGCTAAGATTACTTGATCTGTATTTATTGATGTGTCTTTTACTCAATGTTGTCTTGAATTATTCTGAATGAATCAAACTATGGTAGGAGATGATGATCCGAAAGTCCATGATGAGAAAGAGAGCGATGGAGGAGAGGCAGGCTCTCTTGCTTCACAGGACCACCATAACCACAGCCATCCATTTACCGAGGGAGATGAGGAAGAGATGGAGAATAGAGAAGACACTTTAACTGCTCGATCAATCGTCACTGAGAGTGAACCTGTGGTGGGAATTAGTGGTAATGGAAAGAGTACACCGAATGTGGCAATGGATGCGAACAGTGATATTCAAATTGATCAGGAGATGAAGCATGTGGATGATTCTGACAGGAAGAATGTTAGTATTGAGTATGTTGAGTCTGTGAAAGAATCAAATGGTGGACAGATGTCTTTGGATTTGGGCAAGAATGTTAGTCTCGAGTATGTTGAATCTGTGAAAGAATCAAATAGTGGACGAGTGTCTTTGGATGGTGGGAGCTCTAGCAGTGGCAGCAGCAGTTCAGATGACGAGTCTCATGTTATTGAGAAGAACGTGGTGGTGATAGAGTCAGGGGAATCAAAAGCAGATGATCCTAATTTGGCTGCCGAATCTGCTGCTTTTGCTGATTCAGTAAAGCCAGCTGATTTGCCTGAAGTAACTCGAGCTACTGATGGTGTTCCGGCAATGGATGCTTGTAATTTGGTTGTGGGAGAGCCAAAAGAAGAGGCATATGATCCTGTTGCAGCAAATGCCCCTCCTATTAATTTAGTTGAGCCATCTGATTTTGCTGAAATAACTCCAGTTACAGTTGGTGATCTAGTTATTGAGGGGACTACCTCTCTTGTAGACTCAGAGAATGTATCTAAAACGGTGGTTCCTGTAAATGACAGTTTGGCCATTGAGAATTCTATGCATTCTACCATGTTTGAATTGGGTTTGAAGGAAAGTGGAAAAAATGAGAGTTCAGGGGTTTCATCAGTTGTGATGGATATGGGATCACAACCAAAGGAGGATAAAGTGGCTTCTAAAGCAGATGAGAATTCTTCAGTTTCTTCCGGCACTGGATTTGCTACACAAGAAGATGAACAAGCTAAACCATTGGCTTCATCAAGCATTCTTGCTGTTGATCATAGTAATGGTGCAGGACATGTAAAAGATTCTGTGATTTCGGAATGCTCTGATGGCCAGGTATCACACCTATTTCTTCTTGCTGCCCAACTTGGTTTATTATTTGTTTTCTTGAGTAAGCACCGAACAAATGTTACCTTTGCTATTTTTTATTTTTCATATTTTTGCTGGAATTATTTGCAGCCTTTGGTAGCTTCAGCTCCACGACTGGCACGAACAACTTCCTGGATGAGTTGCTGTGGAATTTTTGAATTGTTTACAGGCTCCGGTAGATAATTTCAGGTGGGAAACCATTTATATTTTGGTATGTATGTGTTATTGTTTTTAGGTTAAGGCTGAGGAAGTTATTAAGTTGTTATAGACTGGTTGTTCAAAGATTTGTTCTTTGCTTATCGTTGCATGAACACACAAAGTAGGAACTTAAGTATAAATCAATAAGGCCAAGTTTGGCAAGTTGAAAAAAAGTCAAAAAGTCAAAAAGTTACTCAAAGTTAAAAAGTTATCACTATTCACCAAAAGTCAAAAATTACGGTTGTACAACTCCCAATTCTGAATTTCCCCTACACACTAATTTATACAATTTTTTAATACACATTTTTCCATAAAAAGTCAAAAAGTTAACCCAAACATCCATATTTTTTTCCTCATTTTTTTAGTCTAAAAAAACAAAAAATGCACTTATTTAGGACACCCCAAACAACCCCTAAATCAGGTGTCAGTGTCTAGTTTAGTGGAAGAGAGATAAGGTACTGGAAATCATTCTGTTTTGTATTAGTGGAGTTGGTTAGGACTACAAAAAAAGATAAATAAATGTTGCTAGAATGGGATGAGGTGAAATTTTAAGCTCGTAAAGTATGGATTTATTAGGCAACTGGTTGTTGTGGGACTGTTCCTTGGTAATGGATGCAGGTCTGAGACTTCTCTGTAGTTACTTGTCCGGAGATCTTTTGGAAGTACCTCATGATGCCCTATGATCTCAATGTCTTGGCTAATACATTTTGGTCATGACCATGCCTCGGGCCATATTAGGGATGAGTCTAGTTTGCTATTTACTCAAATGTTGGAGCATAAAATTATGACGCACTGATGCATGCTGTAGTTTTTTGGAAAGTTGTAGTTGGAATAAAAATTCTGAAATGGTCAACCCATGCGCTCAAGAAAGGAAAAAGGAAAAGTGAGGTCTGGTGCTAGTGAAGTCTTGTCATTCTATGGATTAAGAAACCCCTTTGCTTCCCCCTCCATTGCTCTGTAATGTCATTGTTTAGGATTTGTGTGTCTGGCAATTTTTCTTGAAGCATTTTGTGTCTCAAGGATGAAGATGAGCAGCTGTTTCATCTATCTATTCCTTTCGTGTCTTCGTTAGAGTAAATTGGGGAGAAAATGGTTGTTGTTTGGCAAAGCCTCAAGTGGTGTTAACTATATGTGAAAGTTGCATGTGAATTTTTGTTGTCTGAAGGTCAAAGACAACCATTGCTTATGATAACTTTTAAAGTTAAATTAGTGACTATTGAATAACTGTGGATAAAAATTGTCCATTCTAAGTTTGTGGATTAGACATTTAAAAAATTTCCTGTCTTAAATTTTGTATGTGATTTTCTTGTATCTGGTTTAATTACATTAATTAATGGTTATTGGGTAAAGTGAGAAAGATTATTGCTCCCAAAATTTACCAGTCTTCATCATGAGCCCATCTCACCCTAACTATGAAGTAGAGTAGATGTACTAAAGTTTGAAAATTATATGATTTCATTTTTGGTAACTTTTTTAATTTCATTTTTGCTCCTGAATTTTTTTACCCTCGTTATTGAAAAGAACAAGTTGTAAAGAGTAGGCAAACTAAAACAAGGTTGGTTGGGAGGTAGAAAATAAAATTCAAATGATAAAGTTGCATCTATTCCACAACGGATATCCCTCACTTGAGAAACTCTGCCACTAGGAAATGCAACTATGAAATGACATGTGGACAGCGTGGAAATGAAATGTTTGGGCAGATGCTAAGTTCTAAATTTTGGTAGTATCGTAGAAAATCTGAAATCCACCATTGTCTTGGCACTATCTTGATGTGCAACTGTTCTCTACTTCTCTATCCCACTTCTTGTCAGTTTCTTCAGCTATAGGTTTGAGTTTTTTCTACCAACCTTGTATGTTTAACATTTTGGTTTAGTCATTGTGCTTATCCATGGAAATAAATGATATGCGTTCTTTCTCAATCTGCATGAAGGTGATAGATTTTTTTTATTTTTTTTTGAAAAAAAAAAGCTTTACAGCATTAAATTTCATCTGTTGGCTTTATGTTCTTGCTCAAACTAATCGGAAAGATGACTTGGACTTTGGCTTAGTTCATTATTGTTATTGTTGTTTTCCACCGTTAAGCCCATAATAATACAAATTGTTCGCACTAAGCTGGGCATGACAACCTCTTTTTTTAGTTTTCTTGATGCAGAAACATAGCATGAAGGAGCAGAGTGAACTGATGAAGCTAGTGATACTTTTTTAAGGACTTGGATTATTGAAGTTTCTATTCTTTCAAGTTTCTTTCCTGAAGAATAACCGGTGAGGGACCTCACATACATACAATCTCAAGGGTTTTAGTCAATGTTAGTGTTGAAGACAGTCTTCTTCATACTATTTTTTGTTGATTTTGCAGTATGTAGTGTTTTTCCTTTTTTGTTGGTGTGCTTTATATCCGTTGCTGGAGTAAGTTTTATGTTCGATAGGGAAATTGCACAATGCAGAAATTACAAGTTTCGGTTTTAGATTCAGTGCTTTGTTTGGTCTCTTTCACCCATTTGTTCTCCTTTCATTGTTTGCGATGATTGCTCACTCTATCTTCGACTCGTGCTTTCTTCTTTCATTATGTGTGCCTTGGTCTGTAATGCAATCAATTGTTACATCGATTGAAGCTTGGATTTGTGATTTAGAAATTTTATATTGATTGGGATCTTGAGAAGCAATAAACTTTGATTATTGATTTGTTTTGGTGAAACCAGAATTTATGACTGATAGTGTAATGAAACCGAAATTTGTGCTATCTATAAGCAGAACCAATGTTTCCACATGCCACTTGATGCAGTGATAATGGAGAAAATAACTAGATATACGGTTCTCTGAGACGAAATTTTGAATTAACAAGAAAAAAACAACCCTCAATCCGTAAGGGAAATTAAAAACTCTCAGAAACTATTATCGATTGAATTAATAAAAAATAGTATACAAAATCAGCCTCGTATGAATGAAAAATAGATATATGGGATTTTATTCTCTCCAATCTAGATAGAGAGGGGCTGGTTGTATGCGGGGGCTCACCACTTAGTCTCATTTTGTTGGTTTGAACGTTTCATTTTTTTAAAAATTTCGTATATATTATTCATAAAAAAATTAATCATTTTTAGATTTTTTGTTTATATCATTTAATAAATAAATAAAAAAAGGCGATCTGATAATTATACTAACATAATTAGACCGGTCTTCCTTAAGGTTTCATAAGTTTAACATAATTGCAATAAGCTCCTTGAAGGTTTTAATTTATATAAAACTTGCCTCTCTTTTTTATTAAAACTTCATTTATTATCTGAATGAAAAAATGATGTCATTTTTTTTATATTGAAATGTATATTTTACCTATATAAAATGAGCGAACCTCAATCACCGAACTCACTTAATATAGATATATTTTATATAAATTTTATTTTTTAAATATATTTAGATTATGTATGTTTAGAAAATTAAAAAAAAATTATTAAATATAAAAAATTTACTAAAAATAATAAAATACGAAAAAAATTGTAGCGAACCTCAATCACCACCTCATACGGAAAAACTAATCCCAAAAAGTTTGATTCTAAAATTATATTTGATAACTTAGGAAGGAAAGGAAAGGAAAGGAAAGGAAAAGAAAAGAAATGAAATGAAATAATATTCAATGTGTTTGATTTTAGTTTTTTGGAAAATAATTTTTTTGATTTTAATATTTTTTTTAATGAATATTTTTAAAATTGTAAGCAATTTTTTTATTTTTTTAGATGTACCTTACTTAGATGTATCTAAATGGTAAAATATTTGTAAACAAATATTTTAAAAAATTTATAAATATGAAAAATGTATTGAATTTTCTTCTCTTTTTTTTTGTATTTTTGGTATTTAGTGAATTTTTAAAAGATTTTTTTTATCAAATATTATAATTTTAAGTGTATTTATGTTAGGTGTCTAAAAATTAAAAAAAAATTACTTAAAATATTAAAAAAGTCATTGAAAACATAAAAATAAAAAAAATAAAATTTTCTAAAACGTGTTTTTTGAAAACCATAACCAAACAAGTTGATTGATTTCTTTTTTATTTTGTTTTATTAAGTTATATAAAGAAAAGTTATAATAATAATAAGTTATATAAAAGAAAATAAATAAAATGAACCAAATGATATGATGTTATATTACTATTAAATTAGCTTTTTTTTATTTTATTTTATAAATGTTAGCCTTTTTTATTTCTTCTATATCTAAAAATATAATCTTGATAGCATAACAAAATAATATTTAATTAATTTCACTTCTTGATTGATTTGTGTGTAACTTATTTTTTAATTTTTTTATGAGAGATTTATATATAAATTTTTCTTACATAACTTATATTTTAATAGACCATTTTTCTCACATTAAAAGTATCATTTTTGTATTTATTATGAAAAGACATACAAAAAGTAGAGATAAAAAAAAGTAAAGAAGTAATGTGACTCAAATAAATTAATAAATCAATAATTTGTTTATTTTTTTGTGCTGTCAAGACAAATCTAAGGCCTTATTTGTGAAGTTGATTATCTGGTATTTTAGATGTTTGGATAAATTACAAATACACTCTCTAATATTTGATTAAAATACAAATCGCCTCATGTGATCTTGGAAATTACATTCCATCCCCTGAGGTTTCTAATTTCATAACAAATCGCTTATTTTATTAATAAATTATCTAGTCAATTAACAGTTTTTAATAATCTTATAAATATGTTTCAATTAATAATTTAAATAATTTTATTATTATATAGGAGAGCAATTATGAATTTCTTTTTTTTAGTTAATTCTGTTAAATAAAAAAATTTAACAAGGGGTATTTGTAATTTTTCAAACTACAAGAGACAATTTATACTTTAAGCAAACCTCAAGGGGTATATTTGTAATTTACTATGTAACTGACTAAAATAGTTGTAGCTCCATTTGGCATGCACGTTTGGACTAATTTAGCCATATAAAATAAAATTGGCTATTTTAGCCAAATAAGATAAAATGTCACATTTAAATCATAATCATTTTATTTTTTCTCTCACAAAAATCAAAAAAAAAAAATCCTAAACGAAACATTTTAGCTCAAGCTAAAATAGCCAAAAAGTCAATCCATATCCCAAACAGGGGCTATGTTAAGAAATTTTTTTGAGAAATTGATTGTTTTTTTTTTTAATTGATTTGATAATTGTGAGAAAAAATAAATAAAATGATAATAAATTGAATATGATATTTTATTTTATTAATTATTTTAATGGGTAAATTACAAATTACCCCTTGTGGTTATAGAAATTACATTATGCCCATAAGGTTTCTAATTCTATAACAAATAGATCATTTTATTAATAAATTATCAAGTTAATTAACATTTTTTAATAATGTTAAAATTTTATTTCAATTTATAATTCAGATAATTTTATTATTGTATAGGTGAACAGTCAAAAATTTTACTTTCTCAATTAATTTTGTTAAATAAAAAATTTTAACAATGAGGTATTTGTAATTTTTCAAATCACATGAGGCAATTCGTATTTTAAGAAAATTTCTATTTTAATCTATTTTACCTTTTAGGCCACATTTGTTTGGCGGATTAGGTTGGATGAGATTATTAGTGAGAAGATTATTAGTCAAGAGATTGTTAGCGAAGGAATTAAGGGTTGGTTTGGAATGTTCTAAAAAAAGTACACCTTTTGACTTATTGGCTTATATGAGTTGGATTTTGATTGGGTTTGATGTGATGTGTTAGAGAAGTAATGTGATTTAAATAAGATGATGTGACTTAAATAAGATAGTGACTTTTTGTATTATTTAGTTTATGCCAAACCAACCCTAAGTAAAAGTGTGTTTGTTTTGATGATAATATGGGATATGATTAGCGATGAGATTATTAAATTATTTTTATATAAAATAAATAAATAAATTATTTATATATTATAAAAACTAAAACAAATAAATACACTTAGTAAAAAAAATTAATTAATTTTTTTTTATATATATAAAATAGATTCAATTCACTCACTATTTTTCTAACCTCACTTAAAATTCACACAAGCTAATCCTCCTACAGAGGAGGATTACTAAGCCCCGTACATTACTAATCCTATAACATTTTGTTGCATCCAAACAATAGTTTGATGGGTCTCACGAATTAATAATCCAATCCACCCTCCCAAACACCCCCCATGAAACATGGCCTATTGGGAAGCCTAGTTTGGGATTTTTTTATTTTATTTTATTTTAGTCACAAAAATAAAATAAGTTTTTTAGTTCAATAAGATAAAATATCACACCAAATCTATAATCATTACATTATTTCTCTCATAAAAAAATCAAAAAAATTAAAAATCCTTTTCAAACAAAATTTTTTAACCCCAGACTAAAATAATTAAAAAAAAACTAAACGGTCAAAAAAAACCAACTCAATTAAACGAATCCTAGTGTGTTATTTTAGCCTATTCCTCCGCCTAAAAAAAACCCTAGTTGAGTCCGTGAATGGTATAAAGCTCGACCAACCACTTTGAAAGAAAACTGGGGCGCCTCTGAGAAACCCTAAAAGAGGCGGTGCCTCTTCTAACAAAGAAGGTTGTGAAGAAGAGGGTTAAGAGCTTCGAGAGGCCCCAAAAGCAACCGCGAGGTCTCTGTTAGGGTATATATATATATTACCTATCCATTCAATTTTGGTTTTCCTCTCTATATATATGCAGTTTGTGTTTGTGCAAAATGGTCGATCTTTCTCTATATAACTTTCAGATAGCTTTTCCGATTTACCCATTTGTTTTTCAGGTTTATATTTGCTTTGGTTTTGCTAATTCGTTTCACCTTTTGGTGTTTTTGTTGAAATTATTGTAATATCTATACCCTTGGGTATCATAAATTCGACTAGGATTTGTGTTGATCCAAGAAGGGGATAAATTTTGGTATTTTTTTTGAATTTATTGGAATATGATGATTTTTTTTTTGTCGCCCCAGTCTAACATGCATCTCTTTGATGCAAGATGGTGAATGACATTAATGTAATCTGATTCCATTTTGGATAATTGAACTTGAATTTTTTTTCATTTTATTTATTTTATGTTTTGAACTTTGGATTTGTATAATGGAGAAATTCAATGAGGTGTGATGATTCCTATCCATCTTTTCTGCAGTTGAATGATGAATATTAACATGCACTACCATCTGATCTCAATACCATATCTCCAATTATTTATTTTTTTATTTTGGAAAGAATTTCATTGTTTAATTTGTCCCATTTAATTATATTTTTTTAACACTATTTTCTTCACATCATGCAATCTATGATGAAAAAAAATTTATGTCTCTGATTTAACAGTGATTATCACATAAATTTATCACCATCTTTCGGCTGAGATTGCACATGTGAATGAAATTATTATTCATGTTACATTCAATTTTTTTTTTTATTTTTTTTATTTTTTTCAAGTTGTTTGTTTTGCCCGTGGTATCTGATGTCCAGACTTGCACTGTTGCTGGGCTTCTCGTGTTTAAGGGCAGAAATTGAATTAGAACAGTTGCGACACAGTTAGCTTCTTTTTCTTATAAGCTTGCTGTTACTTTATCTCTGCTCACATTTCTGAAGTTTTTTAATTTTTTTTTAGTCCAGAATTTTTCATTCATTTATTTTTTGCTAGTATATTAATGTTATATTTTGGATAAAAGATCCTAAACTTAAAAAGGATTGGATGGGACCGATACTTACTATGAAACATAATGTCAAAATACAAATCAAGATGAAACATTTAAGGTTGTGTTTGGTAGAGTTTTATAAATATGATTTGAGAGTATGAGTTGTATTTTGAGTTTGTGAGTTGTGAAATTATGATTTGAATGTAATTTATTTGGTTATGATTTTTGAATAGACTATTGAATTGAATTTTGAATTAAGTGTGTAATTGAGTTTTGAAAATTTGATTTGACATGTGAAGTAATAAAATTTGTTTGGTTATGAGTTTTAAAAAGTTTTTAAAACTTAATTCAAATTGTTATAACTCATAACAAAACACATTACTTTCGTACTATTGAAAATTTTGATTAACACTCATAACTAAATTCTTTTTATAACCAAACACATAAAATAAAACTCAATTAAGAAATTATTTTTAAAATTCATAACCAAACACATAACTCGAAACTCCATACTACTTTCACAACTCTACACTCAAATCGTAACCAAATACATAACAACAAAATTAAAATATTTAAAAATATTTTTATAAAGTAGAGTTTGAATTTATTTTTTAAAAATATTTTAAAATTTAAAAATTTAAAATCATAATATTTTGAAATTAAAATATTTAAAAATATTTAAAAAATTAAAAAAATTGTAACATATTTAAATATTAAAATATTTAAAAAATTAAAATATTGATTTGAATTGAATTTTGAATTATGTGTTTGGTTATCAATTTTAAAAAGAATGATTATGTTTTGAATTGAGTTTTAAGAAATAGGTGTAGAAATATAATACTCAAATCAATTGGTGAAATTATAATTTGAATTGCCTACCAAAGGGCCTAAAATTCCAGTGATTTGACTTCTGATCCTACTTGTGATTACGCTATAACGATTAGGATTGTTTGCAATTTTGATAGCATGGCTCCAACTAGCAAAAAGGTTGAACTCTGAAAAAAAAATGGGGCTTCTTGCTGTGCATCATTGGTAGGGGGGAGCGTGGATTGGATTGGATTGGAGTAAAATTAAAATTAATTTGTTATTTACGGATCTTAAAAAATTAAAATCAATCTAATCTGTTTAAATTGTAGAATCAATCTGAATCAATCTATTTAAATACGGATTAGATCGGTTTAGGATTTCGGATTTATATAACTAAATAACAAAAATATATATATAACACTTTATTTTTATAAAAATTTAAATATAACACCATATTAGTTTTACGATAGCAATATGTTTTTTTATAATAGTTTTATAATAGCGACAAATTGTTCTAAAATTTAAACAACCATAAAGAAATTAGTTTCACCATAAGTATTTTAGACCATTATAAATTAACATTAAAAACTAGCAAACAAAAGTAATAAAAGAAGATATTTAGGTTTGGATTTAAGTTTTATATGAAATAAGAGAAGATACTATGCAGAAGGGTGTATAATAAAAATATAGACTATTTGTATACGGTCCGGATCCGTGAATTACGAATTTTTAATTTTTCAATCCGGAACCGAACCACGGATTCAAAAAATCAATCCAAACCTACTGGATTGGACTGGACTGGAGCGGATTACGAATTTCACGGATTTCTTGCTCAGCCCTAATCATTGGCTAGTGTTTATTATCAATTATTGTAGACAGGTTGTTTGGTATGTCTATATTTTTTATTTTTTTGAATTAAAAAGTTGAAAAAAAAATATAGATGTTTTGGTTAATTTCCTAACACCCCCAGTGGGGGTCACTGGGGGTCGCCCCTGATAGGCTGAATTTTTTTTTTTTTTTGAAGTCCACCCAATGGCAGTGTGCCACCTGCCACTGGGGGGTCACTGGGGGTGCCCCCAACTGGGGGTCTGTAGCATAGCCCAGAAAAAATTGCCTCCTTTTTAGGCTTTGATTGGACGGTGTTGTTCAATCCATGAGGGTCTGTCGAGTACGATATGTTTGTAAAAAATCACTTTGATTGGATATTGATAGTTATCTGATCATGTTAAGTTTTTTTTCAACTGTTAATTATTCATTTTTTATATATTTTTTATACAAAATTGATTTGATAATATAGTTAACGATATTGATTTTTTATAGGCATATTGTACTAGACGAGTTTTACATATTGAATGATTCGGATTATCAAAATGAGACTCATATAGGTTTCTACATGTTTAATTTTACCATTCAACTTAGTGAATATACACATGCAATTTTTTTTTTTTCCTTGTTTTCAGCCTTTGCTTTAACGTCAGTCCTTAGAAAAGTGTGAAGTTGATTTGTATTTTAATAATATTTATATTAATTTTTTTATATTTTTTTAATGAATAATGATAACTTTTTAATATTTTTAAGTAATTTTTTGACTTTCTAATTTTTTTTAAAGTTGCCAAACTAGTCCTAAACTGGATCATATTGACAGATGTTTGTATAGTGACTTGAAATGCATCGATAAAAAGTTCCAAAATCCATTTTTGAAATCAATATCGAAATTATAGCATTGAATTGTATTCTATACTCAAATTATTAATGCCAAAGCCATTCATTTCAAAGCCAAATGCAATCTCACTCTTTATGTGATCTCTCTCCAGCAAACCCCTCCCCCAACCCGATACTTGCGACAGATGCACATAACGGCACCATAGTTTCAATGTTCGGTTCCAAGTGTGATGAATTATATTTGTTGACTTGAGACCACCCCGAATTAATCATTTGTTTTTCAATGATTTTTAATGTAAGCCAAGTTGGTGTAGAGTTTGTTTGGATAGACAGGATAAGAGGATTAGAATTTATCAGATTGTTAGTCTTCTCCGAACTATTTGGTTAGATTGAATTTGCATCTCATATTTTTATTTGGTTAGATTGAATTTGTATCATATGTTTGTTTAGTTGTAGGATTATATGCCATGAAGGACTATTTGATTGGATAGGATATAAATCCTATTTCTTTTGGAATATTATGGAAAAAGATAAATGTTTAAAATTATTTTATCATTTTTAATTATTTATCAAATAATAGTAATATTAAATATATCTTTAATATTTTAATTATTTTTAGTTAGATTAAATAAAAATTTATTTTATTTTATTTTTTTATACAATTAAATAAATTTATTTTTTATAAATTAAATAAATTAAATATAAATAAAAATATATGTTATTTTTTAATTAAAATTTTAAATAATAATAATAATTAAATAATGAAATAAAATAAAACATCTATTAAAATTTAAATAATGAATTTAAATAAAATATAAACAAAATTTTAAAATAAAACATCAATAAAATATCTATAAAATTAAATAATGAAATTAAATAAAATATAAACAAAATTTTAAAATAAAACATCAATAAAATATTTATAAAAAATTATTTTAAAAAATTAAATATATAAAACATCAATAAAAATTAAATAAAATTATTTTATTTTTAAACTGAGATATTTAAATTTTATTAGATATTGAATTTTATTAAATATTTAGAGAATTAAAATGGTCATTTCATTCATGTATCTCATATTTTCCCTTATCTCCCTATTTGTGTCTCACCTTTCATGAGGTATAATAGTCTTACATATTTGAGACTAATAGTCTGGAATATAATTGAACAACCAAACAAGGGATGGACTATTAGGCCATGTTTGTTTGGAGAGTTAGAGAAGGATTGAGATTAGAGTGAGATGGGACTCACTAATATTGTATTTGTTTTGAGAGATGGAGGAGGGATTGATAGTGAGCTCTGGATTAGGATGGGCCTCCCCAAGGAGATTCGGATGGGCTTCCAAGACTTGGTATTAGAAAAATAGTCCGGCGGATTAGAAATTTATTTATTTATTTATTTTTTACACGTTAGGCATTTTTTTTTTTTGAACATTAATATTTAATTTTTTGTATTTTTTGTTAAGTAAAATTTATTATTTTATTTGTTTTATTTTTTTTTGAAAATTTTTTATTTTATTTTTATTTTTTTAAATTTTTTTATATGTTGGGCATTTTTTTTTTAAACATTAATGTTTAATATTTTTTATTTTTTTTATTTTTTTTTATTTTATATAAAAATAATTTAACAATCTCTACACTAATAACTATCATCAAAACAAACACAATTTTACTTAATCCCCTACTAACAATCCCCTCATTATTAATCCCCTCACTATCAATCTCTTTCATTCTACTTCTGAAAACAAACGGGGCGTTAGGGTATTAAGAAAATACCACCAGAGCATATTAAGAAATGTTTGGTGAACTCTTCAAAGAGCTTGAACTGTTGATGATGCACAACAGGTGAATCAACAAAGCCAGGACTCTTCCATTTCTTCATTTTCAGCAATTTTGTGTTGATTATCCTCATTATTTTTCTCTATTGTTGTCATTTGCGATGCAGAACTTATTGTGCAGAGTTTGTGCACAATGTGACCACAAGGAAGACGAAGGAGATAGCTGAGCGAGCTTCTTGGCACGATGTTGTTGTTACAAGCAAGCAAGGTTAGAGGATGAATGAGAGTTTAGCTTAGGAAGTTGTCGCATTCAACATCAAAAAGTTTTGACATGTTTGTCAGGAAATTTATTATCGCTTTTGTTGAATGTTCTTCATGTCATCAACAATGATGTAACTTTGCTAGATGAGAGAGTTTTGATTCTTGCTCGTTATTTTACCAGGTGTCAGGGTTTTTGTTTAAAGATTATTGCTTGATGGCAAACCCCGAGAAGAATTTTTGTACATGTATTTTGTGCCAAATTTTGTTTTTCAACACAGCATTCAAGTTGTCAGATTCTCCTAATTTTCTTATGAATTTGTAAAATATCAATTCTTTTTTAATTTATTTTTTTTATTTTTATGGAAATTATCCTTCTGCTTTATGTTAAAAAGAGACAAATCTAAAGATTTTCAAAAATATCACACAAATTAAGCTAGAAGAACATAACAAACCAAGGTGTCAATTGAGCTAGAAGGAATCCTCAAATCAATAGCTAGAAGTCTGTCATTTATTATGATCAGAACAAGGATGAATATACTTTCTATATTCATCTGTGTTATTCTATATACCTTCCGAATAGGTGCTAAAGATCTATCAGTTGGATGATCAACAAGGAAAACTAGAACAGTAAAGCCAAAGCACAACTAAAAGATAACAGAAACTTGATTTCCAAGTAAGGAACACTAACCAGTTCAGTCCTTGCTTCTCCTCTGTACCTTTGCATTTCCGAGGCAAAAAAAAGCAGCCAAAGCAGCCACAGCTCCAGTGATGACTACTGCAATTGCTGAGCATTTCAGCTTCAATCCCTTCTCTGCATCCAAAGCCTTATCAGATGTGATTGTTGAATCCGCCAATTCATTGTGCATTTGATCCGTTACTAATTCCATCTCTTCTGATTCTGCTTGAACCATTTTTGCTTTGGTTTGCTTCATGAGCTGATCAATTTGGCTTTGGAACAATGAGTCAATTCTGTCTCTCACTTCATCATCAGTTGTTGGTTCCAGTATAGCAGCCACCTTGCTCTTCACAAGATCAACTATCTCCATTTCCTTCTCACAGTTGCTCTGCTTCAGAAGCTCAGTTTCTGATTTCAACTGTTGAAATTTTGCCTGTGCCTTTTCTTTCTCCAACATCAACACCACAAGATTAGCTTGCAGGCTAGAAATTTCTGTCTCAGATTCTTCATCGGAGTCAGTAGTGTTTTTCATTAGCCTTTTCAACATCTGTTTGCTCAGATCATATTGTTCTTTGACCGATTTCTCTGTACTTTTATCAGCTTGATGACGCATCAATGCATACATCTCGTCCTCAAGTCCTTCTATATTAGTATAAACTTCTAAATCAATGCTATTATCAGATTTTTTCTCAAATTCAGCAGACTCACTCTTGAATCCTCCGATTTCAGCCATTACCGATTCTTTGCTCAACCTCCTGTGCTCATCATCTGTTTTTTTGTTCTTGTATCCTTCAGTTTTCGATATCGTTCGTTCCAGTTTTTCAGCATTTCTGAAAGTTTCACTTTCAGCTTGATCATCATACAGATCAGACTCTTTCTGTGACTGTTTCGACTCCTCCTTCAGATCAGTTCCTATGTCACACAACTTTTTTGTCAGTTCTTCAACAGTGGGACGATAAACTTCATGTTCAGTGCAGTAAACAGGTTGATTGAGCTCATTCCGCATCGCTTCCAACTTCTTCTTCAGATCATTTCCATAATCGCACAACTGTTGTGTCAAATCACACGACTGTTCTATCAGTCCTTCAACAATTGCACAAACTTCGCGCTCAGCACTGTCATCATCGGATCGATCAGACTCTTTCTGTATTTCGTCCAACTTTTTCTTCAATTTATTCCCAGTATTACTTATCAATTCAAACACCTTTTGTGTGATTCCTTCAACGATTCTAGCAATTTCATCTTCAGTACCGTCACTATCAACTGATCGATCAGACTCTCTCTTCATCTCTTTCAACTTCTTCATAATCAGATAATTTTCAATATTATTCTTCAAATCGTCACCGCTTTCCCCAAAATTACTCAGCAATCGACGCAATTTTCGTACCGGTCCTTCAGTTTTCATAGATGTCTCACAATGAAGGTCCACTCCATCACTGGAGTCTTCGATTTTGTTTTCGCTAATCAATCCATGCATCTCCTGTTCGATTCCTCGTTTATCACCGAATTTGATCTGTATTTCAGACAACTGCTTCTTCAATTCATCTTGATCTCCGTTGAATGCTTCGATTGCGGCCTTTAATTCCTGCATTTCCTCTTCGCTTCTCTCTTCACGCATCAATTCGCTCATTTTGTAGTCCAGAAGTTGAACGTAGCTACTCAGATTTGCGACGTCGGAGCTAATTTCATCTTCAACGTCGCTGCGATCTTCTTCGGCGAGTTCAGCAGCAGTGATCGCTTCATTCTCCATGGATGAACTTACAACTAGGAAGACCTAAAATCACAGAAAATGAGAGAGAGAGAGAGAGAGAGAGAGAGAGAATTGAGATTGGCGCCTAAATCGTTGAAATGGCATGGTTTATATAGAGGTTGCGGTGGGGCTATCTTCGGTATTTCAGGACTTAATAATAGTCCTATTTTGTAAATGGCTTTTTTTTTCTTCTTCGTCTTCTTCTTTTTCTTTTTTTTTTTAATTTAATTTTTTATAATAGAAATGACAAGAGACTTTAATACAACACACATCTGACCATAAATCCGTAGATCAAGAACATTGGAGTTGAGAGGGTGATTTATGATCGACTTAATAATAGTCCTATTTTGTAAATGGCTTTTTTTTCTTCTTCGTCTTCTTCTTCTTTTTTTTTTTTTTTTTTTAATTTAATTTTTTATAATAGAAATGACAGGAGACTTTAATACAACACACATCTGACCATAAATCGGTAGATCAAGAACATTGGAGTGTAATGAAGTTTTCAAAAAAAGTAAGAGAAACAAATATCTACCCAGGAGGAATCATTTAAGATTAAAAATAAATACATAAAGAAAATAAACACAAACCAAATTACAAGCCATAACTTTCGACAAACTTTTATTGTTACGGTCAATTTGGATGTTATAATTTTTACTACAAAATAATATATAAGACCTTTTAATTAGAATATGTGTGATCGCTTAGTGCAAATCTACTCACTAATTGCGTTTGATGATGAATTGCAAGAAATCTAGGGTAAATTTGGAAGCTACGTCGATTGCAAGTCGAGGGAAGCTTGTAGAAAGAATGACAAAAATTCGGATGGTAAACATAAACAGACAAAATTCACTAGTTGGCCAAAAAAAGCAGAGGTGAATGCAGAGGAATAAAAAGACTAAGGTGGAGTTGGCCGACAATAAAAAAGAAATTTGTTTAAGCCTTATCAAGAGAGAAATTAATTTATACTCCAATTACAATATAAATTTTTTAATCAAAAACTCCGTACAATGCTATTGCATTACCTAAGGTGCACTAATAGGCCACAAAATCATATATTTATTCTACTACATCAGGCATTGGCTAGTTTACCTCACTTTGATTTGTTCTTATTTGTTTTGATACATAAACTAATTATAATATATTTGATTTTTTTTATAAAAAAAAAAATTGGGTACATTATATATATATATATATATTGAGAAACAACAAACAAGAAGTAATATTAGATAGGAAAGTCATTTACAGATCTAACCAAGTCATGTGTTGGTTTCACTATCGACCTCTTAACCTTAGATACACTAATGATGTGTTTGGTTGAAGGATTTGGAAAGGAAAATGAAAAAAATAAGTAAAATGTGAATAAAATATATTTACATTTTACTTAGTTTCACACACCTTTTCTTTTTCTTTTTCTAAATTCTTCTTCAAATTTTCCAACCAAACACAACATAAGATAATTGAAAAACTTACTATGAAACCAAATATCGGCAACTAAAATTGTGAATGACCAAAAAGGATGAACGCTTTTACATAACACATCAATCAAAACCTGAGAGTCTGTACACATGTAGACATTCAACAATCTTTGCTCCTTTGACTATTGGTTCATTGTTGCCGTTGTAGCATACCCAAGCTACCACCATTTTGTAACCCTGAAAATCAACACCATGAGGAATATCATTAACATGAATACATGTGTTGTTTAAAAGACCCGGTGAATAGCGGAATAGGTTCATTTGAGACCAAATGCTCATCAAACTCCTGAATCCCACTTCGACTTTCAGAAGAAAAGAATAAGTCTTGGGCTAGAGTAATAGTTTGCTGACAAGTTAGTGAAATTCCTTGAAAAACTACGCTATTCCTTTGCTTCCAAATGGGGAAGCGTGTGGCATAGGCCTAAGAACTTGTTTGATAACATATTATCTAATTAATTTTTTATAAAAAATATGTACAAAAAATTAGAGAGAATAATGTGACAATTTATAATAATTTTTTAATTTTTTAGTTTAAAAGACTACCAAATGAGGCCTAAGGCACTATTTGGATTACACCACATAAGTATATTTGCTTACGATCATTTTATTTTATTTTTAAGTCATATCATTTCTATATTTTTTTACATATATTTTTATAAAAAATTAAAAAAAAATTAAAAAATACACTTAGTTAGATCATTCTAAATAATTCCCAACTTATTGGATATTTGAAGATTTTAACTAATGTTAATTTCCTTGGTTTAAAAAAAAAAGGGCAAATTACATTTCATTTCTCTAAATTATTATCTTATATCATTTTACCCCCTTAAAATAAAAATTGTAATACTTAACCTGTTGGAAATTTTGGTTTTATAGGTTTACTTTGAGCCTAAATTTAAGTGAGGCCCACACGTCTTTTGAGATTGGTCCAAGTGGTGACATGTTCCTTGCCACATGGCAAGTCACACGATGAAGACAGATCGTCAAAATCGTTTATGAGTGAATGAGAAGTTGACATCGTTTTCAATTTCATAAAATAAGAAATTTAAGAGTCAAATATAGGTTATCTTGTTCTGGGTGTCCCATTTAGAAACAATAAGAGAGCTTATATGATTATATAAGTTTAGGTTGGCATAGTTAGGATGGATCCCAAGGGGCACCCCAAGTTTTGTAAGAAGAGGAGTTATGGACAAAGTGAATTTGACGCAAATCCACCACACACATCAAATTCTTGTTAGAAAATTTAAAATCCTAACGAATTTATTCAAACTTTTGTGTCAAAATTCAAATTCAAATTTTTTCTCTCTGGTCGCCTCTCTTCATTTTCCAGCGGTTCCAGGTTTCGCACTTGTTTGAAAGGTTTTTTGTCTTTTCGAACAGACACCTCTTAGCCTATAAATACAGGATCCTCCAGCAGATTCAATAAATTCCATTTTTCCTTTCCCATTTTCCTTCTATGCTACATTTATTCTTCATACTGTTGGGAAAAACTACTCACATTACATAATTTCACATTGCATATCGCAAAATTATGAGATGAACAAAACAAACCTTCAATCCCAGGAAAATAAAATGCTGAATAAAATACAAATAAAATATAAAATGGTTAAAGGAAACAAACCGAAGCCTGTGTGATACCACAATCTCCTTAAAATAGATTCGCCGCCTCACCGTTGGGTGCTGGAGGTACGCCGGCGTCTACTTCCCAGGATACGACGGTTTTTACCAGCTACAACAGAAGCACCTTCTGATTAGCTTAGCGAACGGACAACGACAGCACTCTTTCTCAGGAAGAAAACTATAGGAGAAGTAGATTGACAGTGTATGAATGTCAAGGAAAAATTCTATATCTCTTTTCAAGGAATAGGGCCTCCTTTTATACACCATGGGGGAGAGGGGAGGAGCCTCTAGCCATCAAGGCTGGCAACTAATGCTAGCAAAACTGCCCAATCAATTTTGTAAAACTGATGAACCTTAAATGTGTGAGTTATATACACATTTATGAGGCAATTTCTTATTCAACCATTTTCCTCCAACAATCCCTCACATGAATAAAAATTGACCGAATACAGCAAACGCTCAACATTTATCAACAAAGACTCAGAAAAAGAGAGAGCACATAGACTAACCCTGCATAAGAAAAGGTAGCTGTTGACCTTGAACCTTTCGTAGTGAAAGCCTATCGAATTTACTAGCTGACCAGTGAACGTGATGTCTTGAACTGTTCTGCCGTTTATGTAAACCGAGACAATAGACCCCACACAGGAGTTAGTCCAACCATTATTCTTGTTCTCACTGGTGTGTCCAGTATGGCCCTGGAACACTAGCCTGGTTCTGTGAGTGTTTTTAAAGAATTCAGCCTTGGCAATTCTTAAAGAAGCGGCCCCACTTCACACTCACATAGGTGACCTAGATACGGTATTTCATTATATCACATCACTAAAGTCATTAAAAGCATTAGCTTAACCTTCCACCCCCACAGGGCATCACTGTATAAAGGAATGGGCAAGAGAATTTACCTCTTCAGTGACTCACCCGTTACACGAAGTTAGGTTGTCCCTTTGAACCTAGATCTTGGGATCTCCAGTCAACTAGGTTGGGTTTTCCGTTCCGGTAACCTTTACTAAAGGCCTTAACCCCATTCCTCTTGACAACTTTTCTACTAACTCTCGAGTTAACCCTTTGGTTAGCGGATCCGCAATGTTGTCCTTAGACTTGACATAGTCTAGAGAGACAACTCCATTTGAGAGTAGTTGTCGTATGGAATTATGTTTACGACGGATATGTCTAGACTTTCCATTATACATATTACTCTATGCCCGACCAATCGCTGATTGGCTATCACAATGAATACTGATAGCTGGCACAGGTTTCAGCCAACGTGGAATATCCTCAACAAACTGGCAAAGCCATTCAGCTTCTTCAGTTGCTTTATCTAAAGCAATAAACTCAGATTCCATCGTTGATCTCGAGATACACGTTTGCTTGGCAGATTTCCAAGACACGACTGCCCCTCTGAGGGTAAACACATAACCACTAGTGGATTTGGAATCTTTTATATCAGATATCCAATTTGCGTCATTATACCCTTCTAGTACCGCTGGGTATCTGGTATAATGCAGCCCATAATCCAGGGTGTAACGGATATACCCCAACACTCGCATAATGCCCTTCCAATGAGTAGCATTAGGATTACTCGTGTATCTACTCAGCCTACTAACAGCGTAGGCGATATCCGGCCTTGTACAACTCATCAGATACATCAAACTCCCAATGACCCGAGAATATTCTAGTTGAGAGACACTCTCACCATTATTCTTGGTCAAATATAGACTTAAGTCTACCGGTGTCCTAAACATACTTGTATCTGACTTTCCAAATTTCTCAAGTATGTCATTAACATAATGAGCTTGAGAAAGTATAATACCACCAGATGTTCTGGTGATCTTAACACCTAGAATGACATCTACAAGGCCCATATCCTTCATGTCAAACTTAGAGTTTAACAATCTTTTGGTAGCTTTAATCATTTCATCATTGCTACCAACAATGAGTATGTCATCAACGTATAGACACAAAATGACATAACCTTTGTCAGTGTCTTTAACATATACGCACTTATCACACTCATTGATTCGAAACCCATTTGACAACATAGCATTGTCAAACTTCTCATGCCATTGTTTGGGAGCTTGCTTCAAACCATACAATGACTTGACAAGCTTACAGACTTTCTTACTTTTTCCTGGAGCTAAAAACCCCTCGAGTTGCTCCATGTAGATTTCTTCATCTAAATCTCCATTTAAGAAAACTGTCTTTACATCCATCTGATGAATTTCTAAACCATGTAAAGCTGCTATTGCAATCACCATGCAAATGGATGTAATCCTTGTCACAGGTGAATACGTATCAAAGTAATCCAGGCCTTCTGGCTGTCTGTATCCTTTGATAACTAGCCGAGCTTCATATTTGTCAATTTACCCATCCGCTTTCATCTTTCTTCGAAAGATCCACTTACTCCCCAAGGCCTTACTGTCTAGGGGTAGATTAACCAACTCCCAAGTGTGGTTCTGTAAGATGGAGTCAATCTCACTCTTAATTGCTTCTTTCCATAAAGGACTTTCAGGTGAAGTCACAGCTTCATGGAACGTTCGAGGTTCTCCCTCTAACATATAAGTCAAGAAGTCTGGACCAAAAGACTTTGTGGTTCTAGCCCTTTTACTCCTTCTTGGCTCATCTACTTCACCAGCTTGATCATCTACTTGATCAGTTATTTGATCAGCTGTTTGATCATCCATGTGATCGTCTTCGTGATCATCTATTTCTTTCATGGAACTCAAAACCCTGTCTTGGGGACGACACAGAAATACATCTTCAAAGAAAGATGCACTTCTAGATTCCATGATAGTATTCTTGTGTATATTTGAAATATCAGACTTGTGCACAAGAAATCTATATGCACTACTATTTTGTGCATAACCAATGAAAATACAGTCCATGATTTTCGGACCTATCCTAACCCGCTTGGGTGTAGGCACCGCCACTTTTACAAGACACCCCCACATTCGTAGGTATTTATATAAAGGCTTGTGACCTTTCCACAACTCATATGGAGTCTTATCCACTTTCTTCTGTGGTATTCTATTAAGAATATAATTCGCGGAGAGAATTGCTTTCCCCCATAAGTTCTGTGGCAACCCAGAACTTATCAACATTGCATTCATCATCTCTTTCAGCGTCTTGTTCTTCCGCTCAACAATACCATTTGACTGAGGCGAATAAGGCGCTGTGGTTTGGTGAATAATCCCAAATTGAGCACAAGTCTCGGCAAACGGGGATTCATACTCACCACCACGATCATTTCTCAATGCCTTGATTTTCTGGCTTAATTGATTCTCAACTTCATTCTTAAAAAGAATAAATTTATCAATAGTCTCGTCTTTGCTTTTAAGCAAATACACATAACAGTATTTAGTGCAATCATCAACAAAAGTGATGAAATACTTGTTGCCACCACGTGATTGTACAACTTTCAAGTCACACACATCACTATGCACTAAACCCAAATGCTGGGTAGTTCTTTCAATAGAATGAAAAGAAAACCTTGTCAATTTTGCTTCTACACAAGTTTCACACTTGTGTTGTGGATTAATCTTGAAAGATGGTATGTGATCTAACTTGATTAATCTACGTAAAGAGTCAAAATTTACATGACCCAATCTATCATGTCATAAATTAGGGGACTCAAGCATATAAGCAGAAGAAGAATTTTTCTCATTAATCTTAGGGAT